ATTCACCTGTTTCCTTCCATCCATCCAGGGAAAGGGTCTTTGTAGGTACTTTCGATGACGCTAGGCCTTATAATAACCACAGGAACGTCTCCTCGAGTGCTATTGATCATCATTTCTCCCATTGCTTTGGTGAAAACATAAGTGTCTTGCCATCCATATGATCTTGCCCTGTTTCGGTGATTTGTGTGTTTAAGATCATTGCGAATATATGAGTGAGAAATCGATGTAGTTAAGCTGAAGATTTAGTGGACTACCTCTCTAGACCAATATCCTTCATTTTCTGCGCCTCCTCCTGATCTCGAGTCCCTTTTCCAACAGCATCAAGAGCTAGCTTCATCTCTCTATCAACATCTAATGCTTTTCTGTTTCCTTCGAGGAAGTTCTCAGTTGCTATACAATCTCCCATTAAGAATGGCTTCTCCATGATCCTTCCTTGTCTTTGTCCATTCACATAAGCTGCACAATTTTTTTTTCAATGAAGAAACCAAAGCATCACAAAACCCTTTTCTATCTAATTTCTTTTTCCCATTCATGTACCTGTGGATACTTGCAAGAAAAGCTTGAGTTTCTTGCACTTCTTGGCGAATCCCATGAGATTACCAGGCCCTCGTGTGTTTATGTCCAGAGCAACATCATATCTGCAATCTCCGCCATGACGACAACAAGATTAGTAAATCAAGAAACATTGATATTATCTAGCTAACAAAACAAGAGAACTGAAGCACAAATTTAATAATTGCATGCATGCCAACCTTTCATTAAAGGTTGTATTTGCAGCAGAATTGATAATCACATCAACTTCTTTTGCAATCTCCTCTGCTGAATCAGCTTGCAATCCAATGTCTGAATCGCAAATGTTTCCCGTCACAGGGACGAGTTTGGATAACATGAAAGACAGGTAAGATGCTCCATGAGTCTCTCTTAGATTATTAAAAAGCTCTGCATCTAACACCTGTAAAGGAGCAAACCCATTGGCTAGGGCTCTATACACATAACAGGGGGAAAAAACTTGACTAGCAAAGAATCAAAACAGAAAGGAATTACCTCGTTCTTTAACCGCTCGATTGCAGCTTCTTTGTTTTTGGCTTTAATCAAGAGATATATCTTCCCTACATCCGGAGCCATTCTCAAGACCTTCTCAATCAGCACTGGGGATATACAAGGGAAATGATGTAAATACAGACAGTTGCAGAATATGATAAACAGATATGTACGTTTTTTTTACCTTTAGCTAAGAAACCAGTGGAGCCAGTGATTAGAAACTTCTTCCCTTGGAGAAAACTGACAATTCCAAGTCCTTCTTTCATTCCCACCATAGCAGCACCATTAAAAGGCATCAAAGTCTTTACTCCATTGATCTCAATGGCTCGCCCGTTCCCATTCGGAGACAGAACCAATGTCTCAGCATCCATAGCAGGTGAACTCTGTTCCCTTATCAGTACTTGACCTCTGTCTTTCAAAAGCGATGAGACCCTAATAGGCCTCTCTGCGTTACTGTTTCTC